TTTCTATGTGTTTGGGTGGACTATACCAGCATATGTACATATATACTAACGTCTCAATTTTGTAGAAAGGAGAAATAAAATCATAACAAGATAAGCCGGGATGTCTCCTAACAGCAGCCACCGCATGAACGCAAATAAATTGATCCAATTAGAATTCACAACATGTCCATGTTTTGTCCTTTAAACTCATATGGACATGTTGACTTTAAATGCATAACAAAAAAATAAAAATATGCAATGGTTAATATGCAATTAAAAAAATTCATGATAGTCCGACAAAATATGTAATGTGGATATTACCAGTGTCATAATTTGTAATGTGGTGATGAATATTACGAACCATTGTAATGTAAAGTGTCACAGTATGTAATGTGGTAATGTGTATTACAAAGAGTTGTAATGTAGACGGGGCAGATTGTGAATTGTGACACGGAAAGGAAAAAGAGGGCAAAATCGGGAGAGAAAGAAAGAATGTGGCGGGAGAGGTCCTATTTGGGGGATAAAAAACATGAACTCCTATTTTAGGGATAAGCACAATGTTTTAGTCCTATTAGGGGTGATTTCTATACTAATAATCTATCTATCACATCTTACTTTTATCAATCACATCAAGGGTATTTTTGGAAATTCAACACCAAAATATCCCTCCCTTAATTTTCCAAAAAGTCAATAAGGAAACTTCTTTCGGGACGGAGGGAGTAGAATATAAATATTTTATTATTTTAAGGTACAAAAGTTAATTGCTTTACAAATAACGAAAGACTTCTTTATAAACTACATTACTCGTATAATTTTTATATATCAAACTTTTAAAAATTTATTTATTTAAAGACTTCTTCATGATTTTTTACTTCGAAAGCATGAATCTTATTTAAGAACTCAAGAGAGTGTAAGTCATTCAAAATATCGTATTTTTCTATTTCCATGCATCTAATTTTTTCTAGGTAAGTTATCAATTAGTGGTTGATTGTTCAACATATAAAGGTATATATTATTCAATAAGTTTCCATGTATTAAAGGCACACCTCTTAAAACGATATCTCCATAAAATGTTTGGGCTTGGATCTTTAAATGGAAACATTATTTAATTGAAAGCTTATTTGGTTAGAATTATTACACGATAATAATAATTAAGTACGATAATATTATTACACAGTATATTATTATTATTATTATTCTTTCATGACAATAAATTAATAATGATTAAATACATTAATATTATTGCACGGTATATTAGTATTATTATTTTTTCTACATGGTAATACATAATTTATTCTTGCTACAAAGTAATTTATGATTTATTTACTATTTCTATATTCAACACTTAACATATGTGCCACCATTTCTATGTATTACTTTGACATTTTTTATATTTAATAAGAAAATAATAAAAAATAAAACTAAAAAAATTAACACGGAAGGAATTTACGTATTTGAATATATAAATTTAAAGAAGTATTTTATAAACCGTGGCTTAGAGATTTACCTTTGTATTAATTTATGAAAGCTTATTTTCTTAACAAAATGGTTTGTATGATTAAAATGGTTTGTTTCTTAATTGGAAATTATATAAATTAAGAAACTGTAAATTTAATGCATTGATTAAAAAATTTACACCTTAACGTGATTATTACCTTTTATGGGCAGATATTATTTTTAGTTGAATGGTAATCATTTTTTTTATTATATCAATTCCAATTTCATAAAAAAGTTCGGTATTAGAAAAGAAGTTTATATAAATAATATTTTTTATATTTTGTTTCCTTTTTAGAATTAAATATATTAGGCATGCAAAATTTCCTTTAATTTATCATTCTAAATAAGAATAGAGTAATTAAGTAATTATGCATGTGAAATTATTCTAAAAAGGAAACAACGTAGATCTTGTTTGCGAAATTAGTCTCTTGCTTTTTTATCAGAATTAAGTAATTATGCATCCGAAATTTCCTTTAATTTATCATTCTATTATTCTTAAAAGTATTTTCTTTTAAGAAAAGGGTGATTAAGTATATAATTACCTATTTAATTAGGCATAAATAATTACTTTTTGATAAAATAATCAGGCGTAAATTATTCCAAGTAATTATAATAATAATAGTAATAATTAGGCATAAATAATAACCTATTTAAAAAGGAGACAAAATATAAAAAATCTCCTGCACTGTCCCTTCATATTTTCGTATGGGTAGCTTTCCTATTTTCATAAAAGGAAACAAAATAAATATACGGAGTATGAATTATTGCAAAATAAGTATAATTGGTAGCTTTCCTTTTTTCCTCCAAATCAATAATAAATATACGAATTTTATATTGTGTATTCATTTAATATATGCACGGGATTTCCTTTTTTGTAATCACTTAATTCCTTAAATACATTTCTTGTGTTTCCCTTTTTAAGAATACGGTACTTATGCATTCTTACAATATTGTATAAATGTGTTTCCAAATAATTAATACTTTTTTTCGTTACAAATTATTAATTATTTTCATTTTTTTCGTTACAAATTATTAATTACTCGTATTTTTTACCAAGGCATCTAACACGTTAAATCTAAATTATTAATAATTTCCATTTTATACTTTTTATTTATTAAATATACTCGGATTCTTTTTTTTAATCTAACCAATCATTTCCTTGGGAATAAATTAATTTTTTCCATTACAATTATTATTAATTAGTAATTTAGATATAAAATTGTGTAATTATGTTAATATCGTATATAAATGTGATTCCTTTTAAAGCCTTTTTTGTTGTACTTATTTAATACTTATTTCTTTTTTTTTCTCCTTTTCATCCGCAGTAAATATGAGTCGTAGATGCATAGATTGACAAATATCAATGGCTCATAAGGCTTGGCAAATGGGCGGGAAAAAGCATGGGCATAATTCCCCTGCTTTTAAGAATAGGTTGATGACTAGTACTCCGTACATCCCATTATTTTTCAAAATGTATCCAACGTACCTTAAAATATCAATTTCCATTTGATGTTAACTTTTCTCCTTCAGCATATTGCGACCATCTTCTTTCTCTTGTTTTTTTTTCTTTCTTCTTCTTCTTTCTTCTTCTTCTTTCTTCTTTTTCTCCTCCTCCTCCTCCTTTGCCTTGCCTTTGGATGAGATCCATCGCCTACCTTTTTTCTTCTTCTATTTTTTGTTTTGAATTCTTTTTTCTTCTTATATTATAATTATTATTTGTTATTAATTATTATAAAAAAATTAATTAGTAGTTTTTCTATTCTAATTTTTCAGAAAAATAGCAATACTATTATTATTACTTCATATTTATTATTATTTGATTCTTATTCTATTATTATTATTAATTTTATTTATTATTATTAGAAACTAATTATTAGTTTTACTACTCTTTTTTTCAAAAAATAACAATAATTCTTATTTAGAAAAATAGCACTCCTTTTAACAGTACTTTATTATTACTTTTTATTAATTATTATCTATTTCTTATTATTTTCTTTTTCTTCTATCGTTTTTATTTATTATTATTATTATCAAAAATTAACTAGTAGTTTTATTACTCTATTTTTAAGAAAATAAAACTAATTATTATTTATAAAAATAGTACTTATTATTTAAAATAACACTTATTATTATCATTATTAAAAAATTATTAGTAGTTTTACTACTCAATTTAGTGAATCCCAAAAATGAATCCCAAAAATGAGAGGACCCTGAAACGAGAATAAGACGGGCAAGTGCCTCTAGATTTTTTAAAGATAATACGAAATGATAAAAATAGTTTTAATTTCATATTATTATTATTATTATGAATTACGACGTATACTTTATAACCAAGTGAATAAATAATCTTAATTTTATAAATTATACATAAATATATTACTAAAACTAATTTTCAATAAAAGTTTTAAAATATTTTAAGTTTTGTTAATGCAAGTGAATATTGGAAAAAAAGTTAATGGGGGCAAACACAAGTTTTTTATGGAGCCTTAGTAAAACTACTATTTAAATAAAATAATAAATATATAAATAAATAATGATAATAATAATAACAAATACTTACAAATAATAAAATAATACTCCGTAATATCTAACAGCAACAACAATAATAATAATAATAATAATGATAATAATAACAACAACAATAATAATAGAAGAAAAAGAAAAGAAAAAAAATAGAAGAAGAAAAAAGGGAAGGGACGGGGCTGGATGGGATTGGAGGGTGTAGAAGAAGGAGGAGGAGGAGTAGAGGAAGAAAAAAGAAGGAAGGCTGAAAGATTGTGGAGAAGAAGAAAAGGTTAACAGCAAATGGGAATTGACGGAGAGAGTGACGGATTGTCACCCCGGAGTAATTTTTCGTAAATTTTAAGGTACCCCGGAGTAGATTTTAAAAAATAATGGGACCTGCGAGTTCTTATCACAAAATTGAGGGTACCTAGGAGCAATTTTTTGGTGCATTGTATATGGATTCCTTTTCATATTTTAAAATCAATGATTTGTGTTCATATTTTTAATATGAATGGACTTTTTATAAAGTTATGGACTTATTTTGAAAGTCATTGATCTTATTTTGACGTCTAAAAATAAAATATCATTTATTTTAAGTTCTTTATTAATGATATATGATGTGTTTGATAAATAATTTTTAACTATTTTAAAGTTTTATATAAATGTAATGGTCATCAAATAAAAAATAATGAAAATCATTTTAATTAATAAAAATTAAAATAAAAATAATAAATAAATCAATTAAGTAATGTCACATCATTAGAGAATGCATATTTGTCATGTGACACATGTAATCCTTCCATTAAACTTTGATTTTTTTTAGTTTGCTAAAAAATATGTAATAAAATAAATAATGCAATAAGACAAAAGATTAAAATATGTTATGTATGCATATGTGATAAAATTTGTACTACGTATATAATAGTTTCTTTTGAGATGATGGATAATTTTAAAAATTATAAGAAACATTGTTTTTTAATTAATAAATTTTATATAATTTCTTTAATATTATAAACTAGTCGTGCATATTTGAAAAAATATGTTAAAACAACAAAAAATATTTCTAAAATAGTTAGAAAGTGAAAATTTTATAAAAACGAACAAACATAAGGGTTTTTTATTGTTGGAAAGTGAATGGGTTTATAAAATAGAATAAAAATAATGATTTAATACAAAATTAAATATGCATGTGTGGAGTAACATGTGTCTTGAGATTTTACATGTGGCATGACATGTGTCAGTAGTATGCGCGTGTGGCATGACACGTGTCATCACCACAACTATATAACTCTCTTTTACATAGCATACTAGTATTTTAACTCATGCCATGCACGGGTGGAACGAAATTGTTTTTATTCTACAATATCAAATATTTAAACAATTTGATTTTTTTATGTTATATACCATTTAAATTTCATATATATATATATATATATATATATATATATCATTAAAATTTTGTTTTAAACGATCATCAGAGTTTGAATACTTTTAAACGAAAGTGTGGAGATTGTACGGACCAACCACACACCAACGAACAAGAACAACGTAGGAACGTTGACGACCAAAAACTTTAAAGGGGATGGCCGGAAAATTTGGCCGGAAAAAACAAGAGCTCTCTCTAGAAAAAGAAATAAACAAGGTTTTCTCTCTTTCCCTTTTTGCTCAAGATCAGCTTATCAGACCCGAACACCATGCGGAATCCATCTTGGTCCGTACAATCTCCACACACGATAGCGGTTTTATCCTGGGAGGAGAGTGCCCACGTTTTCCGGTAGGCGGGCACTACTACCTTAAGGACAGCTCCGGCGACTCCGCTGTCCTTCCGTGGTGTTTTCTTTGCAGGATTAGTTCATAAAGACCTCGCTGCGTTCTGTCTAGTGCTTAATGTCCTCGCGGTCCAGTGCTTAACGTCCTCATACAACAAGGCTGTTCGGAGATATAGAAATTTATTTTTTCAACTTTATTTATTTTGTAATATTTTGAATAAATTATAAATTCAGAATTTTATTTATTTTTATTTCCGGGGCCGTTCATCTTCTCCGTCCATTGTAATCCGTACGAGAATTGTAACAATCCACAAGAAATGATGGAGTGAGCTTTGATTTTATAATTAAGGAGTTTAAAATGTGTAACTCCTACACCATTAACCCTTAGAATTAATCATGGCATTTGTGGCATACTAATGGTGTGTTAATGGTGATTAATTAGCCATTAACACGTCCGTTACGCTACGCTCCGTTTAAAATTTGTCCTGAATAGTTGGAGATTAATGGCCAGTTAACTCCGTAAAAATGGACTAATTTTAAACAATACGTAAAATTAATAAAAGAAGATTGGTTCAGTAAAATTGCAAACATTGCAATCCTTATCATATTCTTTTATTAGCGGGTTAACTCTGAGAATCAATTTCTCATTCACCCTCTACCATTTTTGGCGTATAAATTGTCAAAACATTTATCTCATTTAAGAGAACACACGTCCATTAATTAACGGTTAAAACCGTCAGTGGACCTATTGACAAATATTCCTTTCGGATCGAGTGCGGCCATGGGGTCCACTTCGATCACCACCTTCGTTGGATCGAGCGCGACTATGGGGTCCGCTCCGGTCACCTCGGTTATTGGACCAACCACGGCTACGGCCGCAATGGTCACCCCACTCGGACCGAATATGGCTTCGGCCATACCGGTCATTCCCTCACTTGGACCGAACACGGGTTTCTTCACATCCGCACCGGTCGGACATCCTACTGTCATGCTGCCTGCGAACTCTGTCAAAGAACCGGCAAAGTTCACAGGTGTTGGCTTTAAAATATGGCAGCAAAGGATGTTATTTTGGCTGACCACCCTCAACCTTGCGAGGTATTTGTGGGAGGATCCCCCTGTTGTGGGGGAGAACGCGGACGAGCCAACAGTTCAGGCTAAAGAGGCATAGATAGCGAATAACTATACTTGCCTTAACCTTATCTTGAATTGCTTGAGCGATGCCTTATATGCTGTTTATAGCAGGGCTGCATCCGCAAAGGAGTTATGGACTACACTGTCCAACAAATACCAGGTCGAGGACGCCGGTGCGAAGAAATTCGTTGTCGGTAAGGTCTTGGATTTTAAGATGGTGGATTCCAAACACGTGGTCAGTCAAGCTGAAGAATTGATTCTCATTTTTAATGAGTGCACTGACGAGGGAATGGGAGTCAGTGAGGCATTCCAAGTGGCGGCGATTATTCATGTGCTCCCGCCGGCTTGGGATGAGTTCCGATCCGGAGCTATCTCAAGCTCAAACGGAAAGAAATGACTTTAGAACAGTTGCTTGTTCGTCTCCGGATCCGTGAAGAGGGTCTCACTCGCGAGAAGAAAGTAGCTGTTGCTAAGGCCAATGTGGTGGAGCATCCACCCAAAGAGGGTTCTTCCAAAGGGCCCAAGCCAAATAAGGACAAGAAGAAAATTGGTCCTAAAGGAGGCATCGCGAAGCCCAAGTTCGCGGGGAAATGCTATAACTGTGGCATTACGGGCCACCGTTCTTCAGAGTGCCGCAAGAAGCCTCAGAAGAAGAAGCAGAAGAAGGAAGAAGCTCTCTGCTCGGAGCTAGATGCTATGGACCTTTGTGCTATCGTGACAGAGGTCAACCTGGTCGGGTCTAACCCGAAAGAGTTGTGGGTTGACACCGGAGCCACTCGTCATATCTGCTCCAATCAGGCCATGCTCTTTGACTTTAAGGAGACTTCTGGCGACAAGGTGTGGATGGGCAACTCCGCCCAATCCGAGGTTCAAGGCGTGGGCAAAGTTAAGCTCAAGATGACATCCGGCAAGGAGCTCACGCTGAATGATGTGTTGTATGTGCCGGACATACGAAAGAACTTGGTGTCAGGCTCACTATTGAACAAACATGGATTCCGCATGGTGTTCGAGTCTGATAAGCTGATCTTGAGCAAAAAGGGAATATTCATAGGCAAAG